TATATATATATATATATATATATATATATATATATATATATATATGTATGTATATATATACTTTCATTTTCTAAAAATAGCATAAAGTATTTTGATTATATACGAACGAAAATAACATGCAATGTGGAATAATCAATACATATAAATAGATTTACAAGTAAAGTATAAAAAAATTGTAAAATGAAGAACTTAAGTTTTACTTAAACTTTCACGCATGAAACTTGAAAAACAAAATTGTTGAGAAATAATTTCGTTCACAATTTAAAAGGTACATAATATTTTACATTAGATGCAAATTGATTTACAATTGATTTTTACCAATAATAATTCTATAAATATGTAGATAGTATTTTTATCGCTATGAATAATTTTAGTATATTGAGAAAATGATTAATGTCATGATAATTGTTACGTTTGATGCTTTTGTTGCTGTCTCATTTCACCAAGTTTCGCCAAGCCTAAGAAACTTTTTTCACGATGAAAGAGCGTGTACTTTGTTGCTCCAACTTCTTTCAAGACTAGACGGTTACCTGCTTGGAGAAAAGTCACTTGAGCTGAAAAACATGAGCGACTTTTGTGTCCTATACCTGGGGTGTGTACCTGAAAATCATACTCATTTTTTTTACAACGTTAATTGAAAGCTGAGAGTTGCTTCTTCAGCCTCTTTCGTTTCTTCAATTCTTACCATGCATTGCAGGATAGGTTCGCCGTTCACCAATAAATGGAAACCGTTATCATCATGCTCGTCCACATAATGAATCTGTGCGTACGCCAGATACAATCCTGCCTCGTGCACGATGATTTCACCGTCACTGGAGAGTGTGAAATAGCGATTCATACCGAGTTCGGCGACCCAGTCACTCGGCCGCCACGCCTTAAAGATGCCTCTGTGGTGCCGTACTTTACCATTGTCGTCTTTTTCGTCTTGCGCCGACAAGCGGTTGAAATCCGCCTCATAATGAACTGCATAAACCTGCCGTGGCGCACGTAAATGCCTTCGGGTCAATTTCCGAAGAGGCTCCGTCACAAGCATTTCGTAATTCTGATTCAATCACAACATGTGTTATCATCCGAGCATATTGATCAATATGAAAAGCTCCTAATATGCTCGATGTTTCCGCAACAATTGCATCTTCTACTCACCTGAGCGAATTCGCCAATTTCACTTTCCGTTCTGTTTCGGATAGCACCGCGATGAACATTCCGCCAGTTGACATTTCTACCACCCACGCTCTCCATTCTTTCGCTCTTGTGTTCATTGGACCGTGCAATTTCTTCGCTTAATTGGTCATCGTCCGCTGGAAAAGACGCGTCCAGACGCTCGTGGGCGTGATATTTCTTCGGGGGATGTATGTCCCAAGAAACCGTCGATCTGGATTACACAGAGTAATGTGTATAATTTTAAAAGGTTGCTCGTGCACATTTTTGCTACATGCTTCACACGCTCACATGTTCACGTAGATACTTACGATGCTAAGTTCGTTCCAGAATTGTCGGTCATTTTGTTCTCGCTGCTCGCGTGAGAATGTGTTTTGGACGCAATAGTTTTCCTAGTACGATGTCGGTCAATGAGTTCATAATTCGATGTATCCGTTGAATAATCAGTAATCATATAATCGCTCACAGAACGTCTCTGCTTGATCCTTTTGTCCTGCTGCTCAGAAGCAGATTTCAAATATCCTGTATCTGCGATATCCTTTATGAGGATATCGCGTTTGTGTTTAGTGCTGTTTGTATCGCTGCTCTTCTCCTCGTGACTTACTCGCGCTCTGTGGTCTTCCTTAAGACGTTTTCGTTCGATGCTTCTGTATGAAAAAAATATAAATTAATATGTCAATTCACGCTCAATGTCTATTAATATGTGAATCTATGGATCTTTGTAAACTCTGTTGAAAAATGCAAATCTGTACTTTCTCCCCTTAGGAAAAATTATTTTAAGATGTTCAAATTAACTTAAAGTTGCTTAAAGTTAATTTGAACAACTTAAAGTAATCTTTCCTAAGGATTTAAATTATTTTATTGAAAAAAGAAAAAAGAAGAGTACTAGTAGGGCCTTACTTGTGATTGTCTCGCACATTCTTCTCGAATTCCAGCCCACGTTTCGTCTCGGCTTTGCTCACGAACTCCATCAATTGTAGAATAGGATTGGAGTAAGATTTTGGGGACGTAGGTATCGGTGTGGACGTAATTTCGGGGAAGTCCGATGGTCTAGAGCCATAACTCAGGGGGACATGCTGATTTCCGGGTACTTCACCGGAATAGTCATGCGATGCGGAACTATCGTCATCGTAATTGGAGTCGTAATCCGCATAATCAATGTCCGCCTCGCCCGGATCATCATCTTCGGTCGATTTTTCACCGTACAACTACAATATGTATATTTATGATTATATTAATAAGCTACATATTACTAACTGGATATTTAAGATTTAAAAATATCCAGTTAAGATTGAAATAGAAATTATAAACTTATCTAATTATTTTATATGTTAGCATATTATATATATATATATATATATATATATATATATATATAAATTTATATTAAATATAAATATCTTTCGTATTTGGTTACATTATAATTTTAAGTACATTTATCGGTGTCACAACGATAAACACATTTCTATGATAATAAAATATATATTGGACAGAATATGCCTCTCAATATGTACGCAATTCACAGAAAGTCAAACTACACAGTCCGTATTTAATGAAAATTTTCCATTGTACGAAATCACAAAAGTCAGATCGAAATTATTAATTAGTGGTGAACATCCAATACGAGGAACCGCATTCGTAATAAGCGATTGTCAGTATGATTTCCTTTTAAACGTCATATGAAGTAATTACCGAGTCTAAAAGCAGCACAATGTGCTTCTACGCAATGGGGAATCCCGTTGGGAATCAACATTCTGTTATTGACAGAAAACACATTTTCTAGCTGCAATTTATTAAAGGCTTGGAAATTCGGAGCAAAACTAATATCATATCTGAGCATTTTTGTAATTCACTACCCGATTTATATCGTCGGCCTTGATTTAGAGAAACAGAATTACGAATTCAATAGTTCGTCCAGTATCATATAATTCTCTTAAAGAATAAAGGTTATCATAGCAAACAAGTCGAATTAAAACAACGGCGATAAGACATGAAGTGTCGGACACATGAAGATTTATGCGAACAGTTCAACGACCTGTTTATAACTTAGATTAGTTTAGATTAGTTTATAACTTACTTATAGATTTCTCCATGTAGACTTGTCGAGACGTTCAAAGCGGCTGATTTTTAAGAAAAAGGAAAGTAATTCGCGCAGGGAAATTAAGATTATCTTTCCTATTTTTTATCGTTGAGCGACTCTCAGAATTAAAGGTACTAATAACAAAGTATTTACCTGTTCCTCGAATGCCTTCAGGTCGTTCATAAGATTCTGCCTCAGTAACCGATGCTTTAGGTCCTCGACGTCTCTTTTCAGCTGTTCGATTTCGTGCGTATTCGTCGTCAGGCAGCGCAACTCCCAACTTTCGATAGCAAGACAGAGGAGAGCAATTAGAAGGGCGGCCACGCTTAGGATCGTGTTTCTGCTCGGCCTTAGTCGTGACCTATTGAATCCTTGCTCTAAATCGGAGTGTGAGATGTTTAGGTTCTCACGCGAGAAACTCAAGAAAGATCTCGTTTCTTCTTTCACAGGTCTATCATTCAGCAATTTTTGCTTCATTTTTGCTGCGTTGCTATTTTCTTCCGGCAACATTGATGTCATCTCGAAATTGACTTGACGATTGACTAAATCGTTGTGCTGTTTGCACAGAAGTGGGTTTGAAGCAAGGATTTATATGTTTATGGGCGTCTTCATTGGTCACGATGAGTAGAAAGTACAATTCATGTTGTATCTGTTACGACGAAAGACCGAAGTGCAGTTAATATACGAAATAACTAACTAATTCTAGAGTTGCCTGGCCTAACAAACATAAAAATTTATTATTGTTTCGGGTCTTGGTCAGTCAATTCTTACTAATTCTGGAATTGACCACAACTTATTGACCACAACTCAAGATATAACAACGATAACACAGTTCGTATTGTACTGTGAGAAATATTAACCAAATAATTATACCGGAAGAGAGGCACAAAAGTAGACATTTATTTCACAGAACATACATTTGATAAGCTCGTGTGTCCAAAGATTAATACTGATATTTACTGATATTTACTATATAAAGATATTTACTGTATAAAGAACGAAATTTTTTTTTATATTTACTGTATAAAGAACGAAATTTTTTTCTTAATAGATTAATAACGCGTTTATACATATAGAAAAATATCTTTCTGTTGTAGAGAAGCGATCAATCAGTTTACTTTTTTTTAAATATCTTTCTATTATAGAGAAGCGATCAATCAGTTTACTTTCTTTCTCTTAAATAATGATTATTTCCAATAAAGAATATTTTCTTGATAATAGTTAAAAAATATACTCATCAAATTTTAAAAGAGCTCATTATCATGTAAGGAAAAGAGTAGAATATATAAGAATATTGTAAAACTTTATCGAAAAAAAGAAGATTGTTCGACTCTAAGCAAAGCAAGTAACAAGCAAACTGAGTTTTTATTTTAATTTAATATTCTTAATTGAAATGTTAAATTTACTAGGGTTCAAAATGTATTTTAAATAAATTTAATGCTTATAATGAACTTTTGATAGATTTGCGGATATATAAACTTATGAAATTTATGAAACTTATAAAACTTATAAAACTTTGAAACATTTATTTTAATATAGTATGTATTTTTCGGTGTGTAGTCAGTTTGCGCGCAATATGGCTAGTCAGGATATAAAATCATAATTTTTTTTATTGAAACTTTGCAATGTGGCAGACAGACTCGGCAAAAATATGAAGAGCTGAGCTAATTCGCAAAATAGCTGATTTCGGACTTTGACCGTAACTTATCGAGATATGACGATACATTAGGAAATCACTTTGATATAGGAATTATATGACGAAATTGCAGTTGTTTAATACTTTAATATATTATTTTATGCTTTTATGTTTTTAATCTCTTTTTAACAAGCTTATTGATGTTGCTGCTGTCAAATGCTTAGTCATGTATCCATATATTCACTTTGTGTGTAGAACTTTTGTATTTTTTTATATTAGATGAAATTATTTATGTTATCAATAACATTGCAAGAAAAAAAGTTCAATTAGATAATGTTTTAATAATGAAAACACTATTATTGTCAGATAAAACTGCATTATTCTAGATCTATTTACGTCGTTATTCCAAGAAATGTATACGTATAAACACTTTAATCATCGTGTATGCTAATACACCATATTTCAACCAATTGTACTCGTTAAGACGCGCGTTCGTCTCTTTTTCGTATTGGATGACATTACTGCATTGTTATTTAATACAATGCGGAAGGACATCGTTTTCTCGAGAATAGGTCTAAAAATTATGTCAAGAAAGAGACGCTGAAAGTAATCTATAAAAAGAATTGTCCGCATTTACGAAACAAATGCAGTTCAGCTGATTATACATTTTCAAGGATTTACGATGTACGGGGACGTTAAATATCCTGCACCGGTCTCGTCCCGCTTTAAAACCTGTCCGGCGAGTTCTTTTTTCGCCCCTAAAGGCAGCTAACTGCAAGGGGACTCTCCCTAGTCTCCCCCTCTTTTGTCTTCGGCCCTGTCATTTTCCGCACTTTTGCACTGCGGCAGATGTCGATACAAAAAGTAAAGAGTTTATTTCGAAACATAAATTGGAAAAAAACAAGAAATATCGATGCAGTTTAGAAAAAAGTTTCTAGAAATATTAAAACAAATTCGAATTTCGACGAAAGTTGACATTAAAAGAAATGTTCAAACAAATCTTTAATATAACGAGAAGATTGCCTAATATAATCTGATCCGATTAAATTTTTATTTTTTCCCATCACATAATCTTATCGAATCAACAAATTTATTTAATAAAATTGTTTCAAATTATTAATAGATCAACACTTACCAACTCTGATGTTTATAATAATAGAATATACGATACATAATTTTTGCAACAATTAATGCATAATATTTAACATTTGTTTCACAATTGGTTGATGAAGAATATTTTTAACTTCTTTCTGTTATTACTGTATGTGACTTTTAATTAAAATCTATTTCACTCAATTATCTAGCAAGAAACTTTGAAAAAAAGGAATTTGGTGTTGACTTTTTAATGCCTGTTTTATAATACAGCGCGCACGACTTTTAGAATTTACACAGCTTTTATATTATTCTGATGTATTATTTTATTAATTTAAATTACATTTCTCGACTCACATCTGATTATTAACACAGCTTACTCCACAAATAATGTCACTTTTATAAAATACACTTTCTATAAATTTCAATAATTATGCTTGATATACAATAAAATACACATTGATATCAATAAAGACAATTTATCTCAAATATTTTCGGCAGTTTCGATAGTTTCGATCTTTATCACTCGTTATTAATGTCTCACGTCGCATATTGAATATAAACACGCGTTCGTCAAATAAAAAATTACTTTTATAGTGTAAGCTGCATTTGCGGAGCATTTACAGAACTTTGAAACACGTATTTTAACTGACAACGTACATCCGTCGCCTTCGAGCGGCACGAGTATACTGAAGAACAGAACGAACATGCCTGCGTTTATCATCGCAGAGCCTTCAGCTCTTGACCATACGATATTATACTGCACTACGGTGTTAAAATAAATTGGACGTTGGAGGGGAAATGATGTTAATAGTAACAGTACTTACAACAGCAGTAGCAGTAAGTAACGTTGTGATTAGGATCGTAAGTTACATCTTCTAAAAACTGACATAAAGAAATACGTATAAAGTTATCGACGAATTTATTACAAATATAATAAGGAGTGCTCGGTTATTTCGTAAACTAATTGGATATTCGAGTATTGTAATTAGCATAAATAATATCTTAGGAAAATGAAAGACAAAATCAGCTACTGCGATAATTAACAGATAGCTAATCACTCACAACTTTTTGTTCCGAATATCTAAGTACTAAGTTATTTTAAATTGTACTCGCGTGTACGTGGTTAATATCCGCGAATTTAAGTACCGCGTATATAAAAACTGATTGCACTATTTCAACACTAGTTATGTATACTCTATGTATATTATGTATGTTGTATGTTAAATACTTCATTAACTAGGACTCAAATTAAAACTCTGCTAAAATGAGATACTGAAATAAAATATTAAAATAAGCTTCTTTTTATTATGTAAAATATATGTATCAATATATAATATTTTCCATTGTTTCACATTAGAGTAGATTTTAACAATATCTCAATTTCTATGCATCCAATACAAACTAAAAAATAAACATCTATCAAAGAAATTCTTTTATTATAAAAAAAATTACATTATAGAAGAATAAATGAATATTGTAATACACACAATACACGCGCGCGCGTGTACTCATATACACATAATCCTCTTCTCCGCTCTACTCTTGCGACTCCTTCTCCATACGTGATGACATCATGATAGTCGACGATAAAATTTCACGACGAAGAATCTTTTCCTGGAACGTACTTTGTCATTTGTGTATGCCGTACATATACTGCTGAGAAATTAAATAATTCAATCGTGACATCACGCCCAGATGTCTGCTTAAGGTTGAATCGCGGCTTATTGAGATAAATTGAAACGATTAAATAGATGTCTTTTAATGTTAATATTAATCTCATCATAAACGCGCATGCGTTGTATTATTATTGGTGTTGTTTCACTTATGTTTTATCACATTTATATTAATATGACTTATTTTATGGATTAAACATGAATATATTAAGGATATATGTAACAGTGACGGATAATTGAATTTGAATAAGTAATAAAATTAAGTTTTAGACATATTATCAGAAAACGGTAATTAAATAATCACGACTGTGACAAGTCCGAATGGAGTTATCTGGGTGGAAATTCCATGACTAATCCGGCCTCATCTGATAAAGGTATTGCAGTAGTAATGAAAATAATTATATCTAATTATAATTTATATTATCTCTTTTTAAAGTAAATTGTGTGTTTCTTTTTTAACTAAGTTCATGTAGTTAAAGAGAAGATATCTGAAAGAAAGAAAATGATAACGTAACTAAAAGAATGATATCTATTTATCGAAGTATGTGTGTGTGTGTGTGTGTGTGTATACATATATAACGAAATTTCTTTCATCTCTACCCTTTGACCCAATTCATTACATGCACTCGACTAACGCGTGAGATATTTCATTACATGTTCTAACCAGATCATTGCATGATGACTCATTAGTATCGCGTTTCCAGAATTTTTTGTAACGTGACGTTAATAAAGGAAGTTATGTGAGCGCTTGAAACTTTAAGTGATCAAAGCATGATAAATTGTGCACAATTTACGATTGAAATCGTCGTATGTGAAATATTAATATTTCACTTCTACAAAATTCAATCTTATTTTAAATTATATTAATCATCACATCCCTCACACACACACACACACACACACACACACACACACACACACACACACACACACACACACACACACACACACACACACATATATATATATATATATCACAATTAGTTGATTATTTTTCAATTAGTGTAACATTACAATAATAACATTTTAACTTGATGAAATTTACTTATAATGAAATCCGATATATGATTGGATTATACTTTGCTAATTTTAAAAGAATGTAAGCATTTGCGAAGGGGGAACCGAACGGTTCGGATGATCCAGGTCACTTTTGCACAAAAGGATCGTTGTCCTTGAGAACGAGTTTTGGATACGAGATTTGAAAGCTTTATTCTCCTTCACAAATTTGTAGTTATATACATGTATTTTTTAATGTAATATTTCATATTTTACATTTTTTTTTAATATTTTAAAAATATTACCAGTTAATATAATTTTTTCAAATATTCGAGATATGTATGTCTTAAAAATATTGAAGTACCGACCCCATATCAGAGAAAAAGATGCAAAAAATCATCTAAATTGTATAATTGTCATTTTCTATAAATATAATCAATAAATATAAAATATAAATAAATTTATATTAATAAATTAAATAAGTAAATAATATATTAAATAAGTTTTTAAAGTATTACGAAATTTGACAATATAAATATATTTAATGTGTAATAAAATTATGCTGCGTCAAGCACGAGTCTGTCGAAGTTGGAAAGATATTATAAAATATTAACGCTGAGATGTTGTTGACACATATATATTATGATGGGAGAGATTTGTGGGACGAACTCGTATCACAGGAAAGAAGTAAACAAAAGATCTGATACTTTCAATTCGTGCAGTCTGGAATGAAGTGGTAATCCTGTGTAACGTTTCCTGCGGATCGTCCACAGATAAAGTCAGCAACGTTATTCAGTAAATATACAGATATAATTTATATTTATTTCAACCAGTGAGTTCTTCTTAAATATTAAATCTTAAATATTAAATACAATATCTTGTGTAATTTTAAATTTGTAAACTTTTGATTTTTCTGAAATTACTTGTGTTAAAATTCTTTAAAAGAACGATTTCTCTATCCAAAATTTATTTTTCAATAAGAAAAGATTAAGTTGTAATGAAATAGATAATTTCACAATTTGTAAAATCCGTAACGTTTTTGTAAAATATAATAGATATTTTTAGTGTCTGAGTTTAGTTAAATATTAACACTGATCCATCATCATCACAAGAGAGATAGAAAAGAAACATGACCTTGTCATATTTGATTACAAATTACATATTCAAGAGATATTAGGATTTCGCTGGTTAAAAATCAACTGCTTTTTGTTAAAAAGTTAATATTACTCAATTTATATATAACTTTATAGAAACAACTATGATCAAAAGTTTGTGTGTGTGTGTGTGTGTATAATAGTATATGATAATTAAAATAATAAGATTGTTTTTTAATATTCTATCCAAAAATTCGATTAAAAGAGTTTGGATATCTAGAAAAGAAGATGAACATGATTCCGTCAAATTGTCATACTACTTTAAACATAAGAGATGACATTCAAAGAAGAAATACTCACAAGACATTTAACTTATATATAATATTAATTTATATGCTAATTTATATTTTCACGATAACAAGCATACACACAAATGGAAAAAAATTTCAATTACAGGTAATGATAAATTGTATCAATATATTGCATAAGCAAATAATTATATATATGGAAATGACATATGATATATAGAGAATAAATATGATATATAAAAAAATACATACTGATAAAAATGATAAATTTTCTCTCTTTGTTTTTTATCTTTGCTTTATCTAAATAATAATTGCATTAATATTCGAATAACCAGGTACGCAGTACTCAAGTTACATACATGGTTTAACATTTATTAAACATAGAATCTCTGAATTTTTCAATTCTATGTATATTCTACATGTTTGTGTTAGAAACATAAAACTCCAAATAAATGTGGATCACACCATAGTGTGTTTTATATTTCGATAATTAATTAATTCTTTTTAACATATAAAATGGACGTATATCCGCGTATTATAAATAAACCATAATTTCTTACAATATATTTAATATAAAACTGTCCTGTAGAAAAGTATAATCATTCTTATTCTTTAGAAACCATAAATCCAAGTTCAGATACTCAGATAAATTAAAATTAATATAATAACATTTTCATATTTTAAATAGATAAGTTAAATTATAACATTGTTTAATTAACACATAACTACGATAACCTCAATTAAAATATAAATATAAATTGCAAGTACCTTTATAAAACATTTTTTTACAATTTCAATTAGATCAAGTTCTTCGATCGCGAGCTGTCTAATTTGTCGGAAATCTATACAAATGACGATGACAGTGAGTTTAATATAAATTCTAATTATACAGCTTTAATTGTATAAAGTTAATCATCAAAACGATGATTAACTTTGATGTGATTGATAAATTTTAATGTCTATTTAGGCAGTATGATGTCGTTGATAAAGTTTGGATACAATTCTTCAACCTTTGATTTTAATAAGACGCAATATTTCTTACGCAATCTGAGCGCTTTACAGACTTCTGAAATACAGAATTTCTCAATGATAAAAGATGAGAGGACTGATATTTTTACTTCTCAAAAGAGAATTAAGAGCCTGCGAATTAAGAAATCACAGAGAAATATTAGAAAAAGTAAAAAAGAACAACAAAATAAAAGAAGATTCAATCGTATACGCAGGCAATCAGAGTTTCACAATCGGAGCAATTCGCAAAATTGTAATTTTTTTATAAACCATTTTACTTTACAATTTTTTCTTTTTTTACATTAGCCTATCAAATATAAAATAACAGATATATCATAAGAGACTTTCTTTAGCTAATTATTCATAACTTAAAAATAAACTAAAATATGTACTGCTAAGTATTAGTTAACTAATTTTGGCTCTAATAGTGAAACAGTTTAACATAATATATTTGAAAAAATTATTGCTAGATCAATGAAATAAGGACTTATTCTATTTTACAGATCCGCTGTTAGCTACATTTATTGGTCTACTGCCGGAACAATTTACTGACGATACATGTATTTAAATAACAAATATATAATAACATAGATTAATTATTCAATATTTTATATTTATTAAAATTTTATAAATAATTTCTATCATAACATCAATATAAATAAATATAGAAAATAATGATCTTTACAATAAAAATGATTTTTAGTTATAATTGGACCATGGAAGGTAAAAAATAGGAGGAGTAATCCCTTTGAGTTCACTAAGTTTCGCTTAGTGGATGATGATATGTCGATTCAAATTATCACAAGTGGTTTATATATGATCTCTGTGCAGGTGGAAATATTAATTTATCAAATACTTACCAGATTAAAATTTACACTATTTTCCTGCTTATAGTGGATAACAATATTTGTTACAGATTTTTTATTATGGGGAATCAATGAGATATTCTTATCAAGTAATATTACATTCTAAGGACAACAGTGAAAGAATACTTGTTAGGTGCGCTACCGCTGCTTGCGATGTAACTGGGAAAATGACGTGTCATACAAGTGTAATTGTCTATCTAGAAAGAGACGACGTACTAAGTGTATATCAGAACGAAATGGATAGGTAACTATAAATATTAATTAAATGTTAATTTATCTTAAACAACAGCGTGTTAAATAAAACTATATTAAATGGGATATGATGTAAAAATGTAAGCTTTAACATTTTTAGATTTGTTAATTTGAGAGAAGGATATAGTCATATACATCTTGTAATGCTTGCCACTAACGAATGACAAATCACCTAGTTAGAAGTTTAAGTGTGAATCTATTTTCCTAATGAAATAACTATAACATTGATAACGTTGATAAATTACTGCTTGTGATTAGTACGATAAAATCGGAATATAGTCGTATACAACTTATGAGACTTACTAGGACGCATAACAGGAAATAAACAATACAGAGTTGCGTTATTTCGTGAATATAAATCTATTTTCTCTATATGACAACTATGACATTTATAATGTTGGTAGTCAACGTTATAATCAATATAATTAGAATTGGTGAAAAGTTAAGCTTATAAGTAATTAGTGATACTTAAGAGGAAAAAATTACTATATATAAATTTCGTCTCTACATGATCATATATAATTCTATATAATTTATACATAATTTTATATATGATATAGTAGAATTATAATTATACATATAATTATACATTATACATTATAATTATACATATAATTATACATTATACATTATAATTATACATATAATTATACATTATACATTATAATTATACATATAATTATACATTATACATTATAATTATACATATAATTATACATTATACATTATAATTATACATATAATTATACATTATACATTATAATTATATATTATACATATAATTATATATAATCATTTTTTCCCGATGTTAAGTTTTATGATTGTTAAGATATGTCGTATTATTGTGCTTATAATATACATATAGTGATTGGATAGATAGATATGAGAATAAACACGATAGATGTAAATGTCTAATGAACAAGAAAATATTAAATAATGTTATTAAATGTTATTAATTAACATAAAATGTTATTGCAACAATATTCAATAAAAAATAATATTATCTGATACATATGGTTCTTATTAAAATTATTATTAACAACTTGATCGCTTTCGATTTTAAAAGACTTTTTACAGAAAAATCATATCACCCGGTCATATTCTAAAAATATTTATAAAATATTAACTGTGAAAACATTCACAAGATACTCATAAATCAATATATGAAACGTTAATTTAATGTTTCCTCTCTTAACGGAAATGCTCATTATTCAATGTTTATTGAATGTTCACTATTTCAATTTTACAAACAGTGTCACTTTTGCAAAATTCACTTTGTATGAATTTCGATGTTTAATATGCTTGATACACAATAAAATACACATTGACATCAATAACGATAATTAATCTGAAATATTTTCGATTTTTTTCGTTCGTTATTAATGTTTCACATCGTATGTTAAATACACGCGTTCGTCAAGTAAAAAGCTACTCTTATAATGTAAGCTACATTTGCGGAGCATTTGCTTCGAAACACGTATCTTAACTGACAAGGTACATCCGTCGCCTTCGACTGGCACGAGTATACTGAAAATGGAATGAATCACGTTCACGTCAGTGCCTTCAGCTCTTGTCGAACGGTTATTATACTGCACTACGGTGTTAAATAAAATTGGAAGTGATGCCAATAGTAATAGTATTTGCATTAACAATAATAGTAAGTAACGTTTATTAAGATCGCAATTTAAGTCTTCTAAGGACTAATTTATAAAAGAAGTATATTACTAAGTTATCGACGAATTTATTACACATATGATAATACAAAGTAAAACTAAAAAGTTTTAAAGAAATATTGAAATATATAGTTGAAGTAAATATAAAAAATTGAGTGTCACTGTGATGAAAAAAGTTAAATCAAATAATGAAAAAATAATGTATAACCACAATCGAAAACTGTAACTTTAATCACGTTTACAAATTCCTAATAGTAATGACAATATCTTTGTATTCAGGTGCTCGGATACCACTCATACGCAAAAAAATGACTTAGTAATATCAACTAAACCGCGGTAGCTGATTTCAAACTTAGTCAAAAGGCTAATCGTTTAACTGTCACTGCTAAGAATTGGCTATGACAGCTAAAATGCATTCGCTATGAAATACAAATATATTAGATGACATTAAAAATGCATATTATTCAAGTAGCTAAGAAAATGGCAGTTATTCTTAAATTTCTTATTGTATGCATATATTAAAGAAGTTGGCCACATGGCTACAATCATTTGTTACAGTTACTTGTTTCTAGCAGCTAATATTTCTCGCTGTAGCACCTAAGTTTAAATAATTTAAATAAATTTAGCTTCGATAGTATCGACTAGCTGTCCCTATTTCAGTGACACATCTTATCTGCCATAGTTATTTTTTAGCTCTGAAAACTAGTTTTTTTTTTGCGTGCAGACATTCGAATACTTCATATCACTCTTGAGTCCCCGATTATTTTGTTAATTTACACAAATAAAAATTCTACTAAAATAAAATTGATTTTCAAAATTTATCATTTCATGACAAACTATTCCTTATTATATATTTATATATAATATTTTCCATTGTTCAAAATGGAATAGATTTTGGAAATATCTTAGCTTTCAGATATTTTTGAGAACAATTCTATATTGTTAACAAAGTTATATTATAGGAAAGTAAATAAATATTGTATTAATATACATACATATTCATTCTTTTCTGCACCCTGTTCTTATTCCTTCTCTACACATGATGACATCATAATAGTTAGCGATAAAGGTTTACGACGAAGAATCTTTTCCAGGAACATACTTGATCGTTTGTGTATGCTATACATATGCTAAGGAATTAAATAATTCAATCGTGACATCATCCCTAGATATCGGAGTTTTAAAGTTAGAGGGCGGCTTATTGAAATAAATTAAAACGATTAAATAAATACCTTTTGAAATTAATATTTATCCCACCAAATATACGTTCTATTAATGTTAATGTTGTTCCACTTGTGTTTCTATCGCATTTATATTGATATGATTCGTTTTAAGGATTAAACATGAATATTAAGAATAACGATGGCAAATAACAATATTTTTTTATTAAGTAGTGCGGCGTTAGACCTATTGTCAGGAAACAGTAATTAAATGCATCACGTGTGTAGTAAGTACGAATGATACCTAGTTGGAAATCCCATGACTAATCGAGGAACATCTAGCAAATGTGTTGTAGCAGTCATGAAAATAATCACATCTAATTATCGTTATCGTTCACATAATCTTTCGTTTTAATTTAAATAAAGTCAGTTATTGCATCTTTTCTTAGTAGATTATTTTTTATTTGGTATAATATAAACAATAACATTCCAAATTGATAAAATTTAGTTCCAATTTATATTTATTTATTTATAATATTTATAGTATATGATAGTATAGTATTCTACTAGATTATAGTTCGCTAATTTTAGAAGAAAGCATTTGCGAGGTTACGGTATGGTTCGGGTGACCCAGGTCATTTTTGCACAGGAGGATCGTTGGCCTTGAAAACGAGTTTTGAAATCTTTATTCTCAGTCACAAACTTGTGATTATATATATATATATATATATATATATATATATATATATATATATATATATATATATATATATA